CATCTCATCCTCTGTCGTCCCCTTCTTCTCCCGCCTTCAATCTTTCCCAGCATCAGGGTCTTTTCTAATGACTGGGTTCTTCTCATCAGGTAGCCAAAGTATTGGAGTTTCAGCTTCAGCATCAGTCCTTCCAATGAATATTCAGGACTGATTTCCTTTAGGATTGATTGGTTGGATCTCCTTGCAGCCCATGGGACTTTCAAGAGTCTTCTCCAACACCACACTTCAAAAGCATCAATTCTTCGGCACTCAGCTTTCTTTATAGTCCAGCTCTCACATCCACACATGCTGCTGCTACTGCTGCCTCACTCATGTCCAACTCTGTGCGACCCCATAGACGGCAGCCCACCAGGCTCCTCCATCCATGGGATTTTCCAGGCAAGAGTACTGGAGTGGGTTGCTATTTCCATCTCCAATGCTGAAAGTGAAAAGTGAAAGTGAAGTCACTCAGTCGTGCCCAACTCTAAGTGACCCCATGGACTGCAGCCTTCCAGGCTCCTCCGTCCATGGGATTTTCCAGGCAAGAGTACTGGAGTGGGTTGCCATTGCCTTCTCTGCATCCACACATGACTACAGGAGAAACCATAGCTTTCACTAGATGGACCTTTGTTGATAAAGTAATGTCTCTGATTTTTAATATGCTGTTGTTGTTGTTCATAACTTTTCTTCCAAGGAGCAAGTGTCTTTTAACTTCATGGCTGCAGTCACCATCTGCAGTGATTTTGGAGCCCTCAAAAATAAAGTTTCCCCATCTATTTGCCATGAAGTGATGGGACTGGATGCCATGATTTTATTTTTCTGAATGTTGAATTTTAAGCCAACTTTTTCACTCTCCTCTTTCACTTTCATCAAGAGGCTCTTTAGTTCTTCTTCACTTTCTGCCATAAGGGTGGTTATGCATATGTGAGGTTATTGATATTTCTCCCAGCAATCTTAATTCCAGCTTATGCTTCATCCAGCCTGGTATTTCGCATGATGTGCTCTGCACTAAGGAAGCCCAACTGCCTTCTAACTCAGCCGGAGCCAGGACTCAGTACAGAGGGGCTTGTTTCCTGATTCTCTGCACTTTACTTATTTTTAATAATAAAAGACAAAACCACAGTTGTAGGAAATGTCTGGGATGGAGGGTGTGTTTGTACAGAAGTTGTTGGGGTGAAGGGTGGTAAACATCTATAGCCAGTGAGAAAAGGCTAGGTACAGAAACACATAAATGGATAAGCACATCAGTTTATCCTTCGAATACAGCATCAATGATCAGAAAATGAAACTTCTAGTTCTTAGGGCTAAGATGTCAGTTATCACATAGGATGGCTCACAGTCCAGTGGTCCTTCAGTTCATACATTACAGTCATCTGGGAGACTTTCTTGATGCCTCGTTCCCATCTAGACCAATTCAGTCAGAATCTCTGAAGGTGGGTTTATATTTTTATAAGCCCCTGAGAAATTCTGAAACACAACCAGTGTTGTGAATCACTATTGCTAATACAACGGTCAAAGAAAAGGCAAGCTTGTTTCCTGTTCTTCAAAGGAACAATTGCAATTGTCAGACAAAATCATCAATAAATAATTCCTCGCCTCCTTCTGATGCACTGATATTTTACTTTTTTTTTTTTTCTCTAGGAAAGATTCTGAACTTGATCAGGTTTGAAAATACCAGATTAAGAACATTTATTTGGTAAAGAAAAGCTGTAGTGTTTCATATAAGTACAGGGTTGGAAAACTTGATACAGCCTGGTGAAAACACAGCAAATCCTAACATAATTGACCTTTATGGGTAATTTCAGAGAAAAGAAATGGAGGACTCGCATTTAGAGTCTTCGATGAGGATTAAAGTGTGTTTTGACAGTGCTGATCAGCTTCTCGGCCTCGGTAAGTGCATACCATGGTCACTCTACTACCACGTACAGAAGAACATGGGCTTTGGGGTCTGTCAGAAGTTCTGATTAACCTTTTAACTTGGTCAGATGATCTTTCACCTCGTTTTCCCACCAATAAAAGACATGAGAGAATTATCATGACCCCTGAGAAAGAGCACAGAGACGGCTCACTAGAATGCATTCAGTAAGCGCCAGTATACTTCCTTCCCTTTGTGTAGGATTTTGAAGTCCAAAGCCACTTTCCCTAGAGCAGAAGTCCTCAAGGGATGGGGTCATTTGTGGCTGTCTCAACAAGGGCTTCCAGTGGGTAGAGGGCAGGGATGCTGTTAGACATGCTTCAGCGTTCAGGGTGGCCCCCACAACAAAGAACTACCCAGCTCATACACACTACTGTGTATAATAAACAAGCAGAAGACATCGTACAGCATAGGGAATATAGCCAGAATGTTGCAACCTTAAATGGAGTATAAGGTGCGTGTGTGTTCAGTCCTGTCCGACTCTTTGCAACCCTGTGGACTGTAGCCGGCCAGGCTCCTCTGTCCATAGGGTTTTTCAGGCAAGAATACTGGAGTGGGTTGCCATTTCCTTCTCCAGGGGATCTTCCCTACCCAGGGATCAAATCCACGTCTCCTACATTGGCAGGCAGATTCTTCACCACTGCATCACCTTGAAAGCCCCAGGGTTAATGGAGTATAATCTATAAACATTTTGAATCACTATGTCGAACACCTGAAAGTAATATTGTAAATCAACTATACTTTAAAAATTCAAGTTAAAAAGTCCACGATGAACAAAATATCCCATTTTTACATAAAAACAAGTTGAGTGTTAAATTTTTTTAAAATTACCCAGATTAAAATATCAATAGAGCTGAGGCTGAAAGACCTGCCTTAGAGGAATCCACATTAGAGACAGACTCAATTTATGTTCTCTAGATTTGGATGAGGAAATGGAGATTCAGAGAAGTTACCCTATCTGCCTAAAAACCACAGTGCTGGAGCCAGTGGGGGTGGGAGCAGCAGTTTGGATTCTTGGATTAGAAAAACCAAATCTTTTCCTAGCCCCAAAATGTGCTCTTTCCACTATAATGCCACTAGTTCTTCAGCAGAAAAAGTGAGGGGCCCATGTTATACTACAATTCTGGGAAAGCAAAACCACCAGTGACCAGCAAAGCTAAATTTATCCTCAAGTTTTCAGTTATACTACACATGCTTATATTGTTCAAAGACCACATGCAGACTCAAAAATAATTATGCTCAGTTGCTTCAGTTGTGTACAACTCTTAGATCCCATGGACTGTAGCCCACCAGGTTCCTCTGTCCATGGGATTCTCCAGGGAAGAATACTGAAGTGGGTTGCCATTTCCTCCTCCAGGGGATCTTCCCAACCCAGGGATCGAACCTGAGTCTCTTATGTCTCCTGCATTGGCAGGCAGGTTCTTTACCACTAGTTGTCTTTTAGCAAGCATCCAGGGCTAGTAAAAATTAGACCACAACAAAGCCATTACACATAGCAATTGCATAGGGAAACTTCCTCATCATCCTGCCCACTAGCAGAAAACGAATCTCTCCAAACATTAAGACTCAGTGTTCCCCATAAAACTATGACATGACTGTTTTGTGCTATGATTACATAAAGTAAGATATTCCTCCACAGCAAACATAAGCAAAACAGAAGTCTGCATGTAAATTGACAAGTGGTTAACATCGAAAAAAATTTCTCAAAAGCTGCTGATAAGAGTGGTCGTTGATCACATTAACTTAATGTGAAATTTATTTTTGCTTTCAGAAAGTAACTATCCACAAGCTATATCATAGAGGGATATATTACATTTCTTTTTGATAAGGAATCAAGGACAATGGAAATCAAGTCAGTTTTGGGGACATTACCCAAGAAAGCAAGTTAATTGTGGCTTTACCAGCGTTCAAGATGAACCAGACTCAACATTCAAAGTTCAACTACTAGAAAAACTAGATGTTTTCAGAAACAGTCCCAAAGTGACAATCTAAAGGAAAATTATAAAATCTACTCCTGTGCTTCCAATGTAGGGGGTGTAGGTTCAATCCCTGGTCAGGGAACTAGCTCCCACATGCCACATGGCCAGTCCGAAAAAAGTATATGGAACACCTGACCGTTTTTTCCAAATCCTATGATACTCAGAGCTTTAAAAAACACACACCAGGTTCAGGAGAGAAAGGCTGGAAGAATAACCACGCGGGTTTGTTTTTCTGGGTGGTAGATGAGTTACATTCAACTCTATAAAACTTGTAATCAATATATGCTATTTTTTTCATTGGGGCGGGGATCATTCTCATTTACAAAGCAATAGCATATGTAGGAAACAGCAAAGACATTAGATTTCCACAGTTTATATTTAGATCATGCTACCCCAATCCCATTTTTAAATTAGTGACAAAACTGTTTAGAAATGACACCATAAGATGAACTTTATTTTAAAGCTCATAAGAGGCTTCACAATATCAGTTACAAACAGAATCAATGTTTCTTCCATGGTACACCTTCACATGACAATGCACTGTATAACGAGAGATATATTTTAAAGATTTTGTTCTGCATGCTGCTAACACATTTCACTAGCTTTTGCTTTTAGTCAATGGATTTTTAATATAATTAATACCAAAGCAAAAGTCATATTCTATTGGACAGAATTAATTTTAGAAAGCCCTTATGAAATCAGACTTAGTCATGTTTATAAACATCCACACCCACACACATGCTGCAATGGAGAGCAAAATGCAAGAAAACTACCTTGGCAGGAACAAATGCTTAAAGAGTTTAATCACAGCCCTCTTGAACAAGCAGTACACTTTATTTTCTCCAAAGACAAAAGTCAATTTCATCCTCAGTGATGCAAATGGTAATACTGCACAGAAGCTTAGTATGAATTCACAATTCCACAGGAATCTGAAAGTTACCAAGGCAATTTTCCCTTTTAGGATCATAAAGACTACAGACTTAAGCTTCTTCTTTTTCCATATAATACACAAAATTTCTAAACATCCTTAAAAAAGAAAATATAAATAGTCTCAGTATGTCATGTAGAATCACATACTATGGCAAAAATATTTTATTAATTGAAGGACGAAATCAGTTTCATGTCATCTAGTCCAAGTCCATATTAATGGAACTCTTCTCGTTAGGGTAACATTCTCCATTCTGATGTGGAGGTTCAGCACTGAAATTGTTTTTGCCGTCTAAGTCCTCTTCCTTTTTATCGGTACTCGGGCCATTTGGAGTTCTTTCCAGTTTGGGAGATTCGATTTTTGGTTTGGGTTGTGTTACGACAGGTTCACAAGTGTTATTCAACTCCTAAGAAAGGAAAACAAAACTAATAATCAGACTTTAACTCCAATATGTTTTCAATTACTTTCCTACATACTTAAACCAATATTTTTCAACCAACTCCAATCATACATATCTCAAAGAATTCTACTTGCTCAATACATTTGCCTAAAAATATAGCTTGAAGCCTGATCTAGATATGTAAATATTCTTTTACAATGTGTCAGGGACTTGCTAACTATTCAGTTTATTATTAACCCATTTACTCCTCATAGCAATTATTAAAAGGTATCGTCTCTTAACCTTAGGAAGAGAAAAAGCAGTGAGCAAAGAGCTGGAATTCAGCTTATAGCCCATGACCTCAAAGGCTCATGTTAACCTTCTCTGTGTTTGAGTGTTCTTCCAGACAGAGCACCTTCCTTGGTTTTCTTACCAACTTCCTTCAAGCCTCATGAACTCGGCAAGACGTTCCCTGATAAAATACCAACCTGGGACTCTCCCCATCGCCAAGTTTCCTAGTCCCTTTGACTACTGTTCCCGCGGCATTTAACACAGTCTGACGCGCCCATGCTGGTTTGCTGCCGCGTCTTTACCGTGGCGGCCACTGGCAGGTGTCCCCCCCCCCCCGGGAGCAGGGACTCCCCTGCACACGGAGCGCTTAACTCCTACAACAACAGCTGCGTGCATGGTACAAGCGCAACAAATGTGCTTACTGAACTAAATAAATGAAGAAACAGAAACTGGACGAAACTTACAAGGCCTTCCCACATTTTGTAATATCAATAATGAACTATTAATAAGAAATCTGGTCTTGGGATGAGGTAAAAAGATTTAAGGAAAAATGGCTATTTTCAAATCATTGCAACCGCAATCCCTAAGAAACCACAGCAGTAAACACTAGACAGTGACACTCACCTTTATTTTTGCTCTAATTTCCTGAGCACGTACAACGGGATCTTGATCAAGACTCTTTTTAGCCTGAGCATTCATGACATTATTCATCCACTCCATCACTTCATTAACAGACTTCTCAACCTTTTTCATTTCAGACTCATCAATATGGTTGTATTTCTCATCCTAAATGGAAAAACAGAGCCATTCTGTAGAATCAAGTATTTAACAGTAACTAACATCTAATTGGACCCAATTTTCCATGAAGTTCAAATCTATCAATACCGTCTCGTCTCACACACCCAAACCTAATTTCTGACTTAAGACCATGTGTTCACAATGGAGACTCCTTCACTTAAGCAGTAGCTTGTAAATCCAGGGTTCATGTCCTCACTGTGTACAGACTTACATTACTTCTAAAGTCAGCTGCTATCTTGGCATAGTGCTGCAGCCTCTGTCCTAGTTCTTCAAATATTTTCGGCCTTTCTTCAGCTTCTTGAAACCGAACTTTAATTGGAGTGCCGATTTTCTAAAACCGAATGTGGTAAATTAGCATTCGCAGTAATTATGTTTTAGCAGTCTACAGTCTGAAACGTAAGCCCCCTTTCCAGGGGAGAGAAGGCCTACCATCAGCTCTCCCAGCTTGTCAACATACGCCTGCTTGGCCTGGTCCTCCCCCTCTCCATAGAGCCAGTTCTCGGTCTCTGTGAGCAGCCGCAGGAACTGCTGATGGTCCTAATACAGAACACGGAAATCAGTGTCAGCGGCTACCTTACGTTAAAAGCTTTCGTGACAGAACAGTCATCCTCAGAAGTGTTCAGTATCAAGCTCATCTTATTTCCAGGATGGCAAACCTGATCACCTGGATTCTCGTCACTGAAAGACATCAAGGTGCAAAAACACGCCACAACTTGCTCCTGACAGTATTTTATACAGGGGAGGGAGTTGGTCTTAGGCTAGTCTCTCTTCACATAGGGATGTTTGAAAATTTGTGGTAAACTGCTCTTATGGACTTAAAATAAATTTTAGAAGTTCGATTTTGCACAATTTGTACACTAAAATGTCATCATAGAAGAGCAATTTTCTTCCTATTCTCTAAACAATTAGGTCTTGATTAGTAACTTCCTACTCACTTCCACAACCACTGAATACTGAAAGGAAACCTAGCCAAGTTGATAGTTCAATCACTGCACACAGAGGTCACTCCTAATCAACTCAGAAAGTATGTGGTTATACTCTAGCTTTAGGTTGAGTAAAGTTATACAAATCCACTCTGGATTTCTATAACTAGCCCAATTTCTCTCCAAGGCCCATCTTCCACAGACATGCTTCTGCTCTGGGATTTATGGTCCCTGACAAACTCTGGAATGACTGGATGAACAAGTCTTATGGGATAAAGCAATGACAGAGCAACCAAGGCCCTGAGGTCTTTGAAAGCAAGTATTCTCTCCTATTTATGCTTCTACTCCCCCAATAACTATGATGTTGCAGACTATGAATAAACGTGCTGACAGGTTCTTTCTTCAATGGTAAAGAGTAAAGTCACTAGGATAATCTAGATTAAAACTGCACACTGCTCGTTAGCCTCTCTCTCCATGACTCCATTTATACGATTTCTATTTCAAGTTGCCTGTTTTCAAAAAGCTCAAGTTACACAGTCTAGTAGAGGCTTTAAATGTCAAATTCGGAATTAAGCACTTCAAAGTGAGATCATCTGGATAAAAGCACAGCCCTAAGCACACCTGCTCGCACATAAACTTTCCGTACGGCCCACACAGCTTGTCCCTGAACTCGTACACATACTCCTCCACCGCATTCTTGGCGTCGTTTCTCTCCTTTTCCAACTTATCCTGCATTATCATCTTGCCCTGTCCAGAGACAAAAGAGGTTAATTCCAATCCTCTGCTAAGTGCGACTGAATTTTAACTATTTAGATTCTGGAGTTAACAAGGTCAGCAATTATACCCCCCCTAAAAAAATCAGTTTTAACAGTTCTAAGTTATACCTCGTAAGATTCTTCCAACAATCCCTACAAAGTCCTTCATTTTCTAAATACACAGAATGAAGGGTTTTGGTTTTTTTAACATTATATAATAAATTGTATAAGGCTTCCCAGGTGGCACTAGTGGTAAAGAATCCACCTGCCAATGCAGGAGATGCAAACGATGCAGGTTCGATCCCTGGGTCAGAATGATCCCCTGGAACAGGAAGTGGCAACCCACGCCAGTATTCTTTCCTGGAGAATTCCATGGACAGAGGAGCCTGGCGGGCTGCAGTCCATGGGGTCGCAAAGAGTCAGACACGACTGAAGCTACTTAGCATGCACAAACAAACGTACTATTTATCAAATAGAAACAGGGATTTACCATTAAATTTCTAAACACAACGGTCCCATCTCAGTAAAGGAAAACTAGAGTCTCAATCATTTCACCTATCCAAACTACAGAGAAGCACAATGTATTTTAATAGAAATATTTAGTGTGGCCTGAGATACCAGTGGTACTGTGCTCTGTGCTAGAAGATATCAGCACTCCACCATGGAATATTACTCAGCCATTAAAAAGAATTCATTTGAATCAGTTCTAATGAGATGGATGAAACTGGAGCCCATTATACAGAGCGAAGTAAGCCAGAAAGATAAAGACCATTACAGTATACTAACACATATATATGAAATTTAGAAAGATAGTAACAATAACCCTATGTGCAAAACAGAAAAAGAGACTCCTATGTATAGAACAGACTTGTGGACTCTGGGAGAAGGCGAGGGTGGGATGTTTCAAGAGAACAGCATTGAAACACGTATATTATCTAGGGTGAAACAGTTCACCAGCCCAGGTTGGGTGCATGAGACAAGTGCTCGGGCCTGGTGCACTGGGAAGACCCAGAGGGATTGGGTGGAGAGGGAGGTGGGAGGGGGGACCGGGATGGGGAATACATGTAAAAAAAAAAAAAAAAAAAATGAACTATTTTCAACAATGGAAAAAAAAAAAAACAAACATATTGTAAACAGTTAAAAAATAAAAAAAAATAAATGTTCTTGTCAAAAAAAAATAAATAAATAAAGCTGATTTACTCAGATAAAAAAATAAATAAATAAAAAGCAAAATTAAAAGCAAAAAAAAAAAAAAAAAGAAGATATCAGCACTCAATTGCTTCACAAGAACCTGGACAATCAATTTTGCACCAAGCAGAATGATCTATGGTATAGATTTCTTTAATCAAGTTGCAAAAATATTAAGAGAAAAAAAAACTTGCTAAAAATATTTAACTAAAAACCATTACTTTTTGGCTTCCTTCTGCCCCTAAAAGTTGTATAAAACTTATGAAATGTTAAGAATTATAGCCATTTACCTAACAAGGCAAAACAAATAAATACATTCCAAAATAAAAATATTTAAGTGAAGTAATTACCTCTGTTTCAATATACATGTTCAGAAGGTCTTTCCCTAACTGCCAGACCAAGTTGGCTTCAATAGGCAACTCAACATTCACCACCTTTATTTTGGGTTTTTTAGCTTCTGGAGGTTGGTCAACTTTCTTTTCATTAGCCTTGGGAAGAGGGGTTAAAAAAAAAAAAAAAAAGAAAAATTCTTAAATAGTTCTTGAATAACAGAAATATCCCTATCATACTTACTGAGGACTCACGCAAAAGTGAAATCCCTAAAATCATAAAGCTGGAAGAATGTGTAAAATCATGTAACTCCCACCCACCCATTTTAAATGAGGGCTGCAATTACACTTATACCTGCCATACTTCCCCCTTCAAGAATTCACCAGAACATTTTTCATCTCAAATTTAATCTCTCTGGCTAAAGCTTTTCTTCACAGGTCCTTAATTTTCTAATACCTTTAAGCTATGTTTGTGACTTGAAAAAGTCAAAAATACTATTAAATTACCACTTCTTTAAATTATAGTCTATAATAGTAACCACAGATAAGACTCTGATCAGCTGCTAAGCATGTTAGGATCAACTCTATTCCTGTATTATATATTTCAGTTCCTATATTCCAGCTACAATTATCAGTACATTGATGAGTGCCTTTTAAAATTCCCTGAATTTGGACATGAATTCCCATGAATTTGGACATATACATGTGTATATACATCCATCTCCTTATTTCTACTATCTGCCTTTGAGTTGTACCACTTCTCATAAACAACTCTGCAAGGTCAAAAAAATGTTTACAGTCTTAAAAGAGTAAATGGAATGATGTAGCAAATGCTACATTTACTGTTAACTTTTTCCAAAATACGTAAATACAGGGCTAAAGAAGTAAGTATCTCCTATGGCCTTTAATTTTCCAAGATGCTCTTAGCATTTTCATTTCTGCAGGTTCTTCTAGACACAAATGACAAAGAGCACAACTTCAGCAAACGCAGCCGTAGAACAGATGAGAAGAACCACGGGGCATCTGACGTGCACGCTGACCGAGGCACAGCAGGCAGGGGCTCTGGGGGCCTGGGGGAGTTGTGAAGGAGGCTAACACCTCAGACGCCACGCAAGAACTGGGACTTGGAAGAGGCTCAACGGCTTGACAATCACAAAGACGGAGACTGTTTTTCAGGTGTGTTTTCCAGGCTTCTGTTTTCTGCGTCCTGAGAGATCACTTGTCTGTGAAGTGCTGAGAGCTGGGTCACTAGGAGGCGCCTATCAGTCAGCCTGCCACACCCCCGTCTTCGCCCCTCCTGTGAGCATGAGAACTGCCTCCCACCACCCCCACAATATACTGTGCATGCTCTGGGTGATCACGAAACACAAGGAAGAGAAGTCACACCTACACCTGGCAAAAAACACAGGAGTGCAACAGATACTGGGAATCGAATGGATGAGAGCCACAGGTATGGAGGTTAAGCTGGGATAAGACTAGCAGTACAACATTAAATCAACTGCTGACAAAACCAACATATCACAAAATGGCATCCCCATGGCATGGACAAGGGCCGCTCCCCAGAGGGTCTGGCACTAGTGGTCCCACCTACAGCCAGGAGCAGGAGACGCACCCAGGGCGTGCTCTGACAGGTGTGGGGACCGCCGGCAGGAGCCAGTCAGTGCTCAGCACTAGGTGAGGGGAGGAACACCGAAGTTAAGGAGCCATCGCTGCCAGACCATCCACACCCAACTCTTCAAGAGGCGGCAGCAGCTTCTTTCAGAAATCAGAATCTGGACCCCCGAGGGGATCAGTCAGGGTGTGGGAGCTTAAAACCAGATGCTTTTACTAAGAGTAACATGTATTTGGACCCCAGTGGACTATTCAGCAACTCATCTAAGGGTAAAGAGTTCTATCCTCAGAATGAGAGAAAACCAAACTTCTAATGAAAGAATAATTTACATGCAACCTGCACAAAGAACAAAGTTTTGCAAAGCACAGATCTGGAATAACAATGGAAACTTATCACCAGATCATTGTAATTTATATAAATTTGACAGGCAATTTGAGAGGAGAAAAAAGTTTTACTAGACTCCTATAGCCCATGTATTTAACATCGGATGACTTCAAGTGAAAACTCATCACACAGCACTGAGATGAGTCTTTCAGGTGCTGGCATTTGCAGGCACCTCTAGCACTAGAGAAGACAACAAAAAGCTATGCATTCGCCCCTGGTTGCCTGGAGTGGCAGTTATTCAAGAGAAGCTTTCAAATCCAAAAAGTAGGATAATTAGCTGGAATACCTCTCACTGGTTTCAGTTGAAAAACATAGAAAATTAACAGGAGAAAAAAAAATCCTATATAGAATAAGGTAGCTTGGTGCTTGCTCTTGAAACTGCAGATTGAATGATATCATTAATGATCACATGTCGCAACATTGTCTAATGGAATGAACTAGAAGAGTCACTCACTTTGTCAGCATCTGGGATTTTGTTTTCTTCTGAGGTAAGTTCAGGTGAAGGGGGAGACTGTGAGGTTTGATGACCATCAGTTTGTACCTGGGGCTGTGTTCCAGCTTCATTGTTGTCTTGCTGGATATTTTTCTGAAATGAAAGCCCAGGCACAAAGGATGTAGAAAGCAGGTGTACTTGTATAAATTGAAAAGGTTATAGGGCACCAAAGACAGTACACTCAATTTCTGAAGTCTTAACAGGCGGGGGAAAGATACTGGATAAAAGCATAAAAAACAAGTATTTGAAAACTTCTTAGATATTGTAAACCTGTAAGAAATCCTTTGAATGATAACAGTTAATATAATAGTTAAATAACACAAGTAGTAGGCATTTTGACTGATGTGATGACAGGAACTCTCCTTCAAGAAACTCCCCTCTAGCATTGCACAGATATTAATTCTCAAAAGCAAGTAGGTTTTCTCCAGGCCTCTCTCCCAAAAATAAGCTTCCAAAACCTAACTTCACCAACAGCCATCACACATCTCAACATATCTGCATGTCAGTGGACTGAGGAATTAACATAAAATAGCCAACAATCCATCATCTGGCAGCTAGCTCATCACTCCAGTTTAGAGAAACGCAAGACCCTCTCTGTCTCCATGCTCTTTTCGTGACCCAACAGTCTACACCTCAAAAAAATCCCGGCAAAAGAACAAATGCTAAATGTTAGGAGATGCCTCAATCCCCAGTAGATCAGAGCTTGTTATGATCTTATCCCATCTTAGGGAGAAGCCTGAAGCATTCTAACTTTAATGACTGAAGTCTCTCATTAATTTTCTTCCAGAGCCTCAAGATCCTGAGGCAGACATTGAAGTACCAGAAGCAAGGTATTCCTGGTATATATACATCTAAAAGGTACTAAGAGATTGGATACAACAGGCATTAGAATAATGGTGTCTGTAGCCAGATGAGAAAGCGCTGGTATGTGGTGCTGGTCATTTAGTTCATTACACTGAAGTTTTCCCAATGAGAACAAAGCTAAGGCTCAGACGCTCCTGTTCCTTAAATGTTCTAGGGAATGACCACAGTGCTAACAGTCTGGCCACAGGGATGTCACACTTGCTCATAGGAACTCAAACACTGTAACTGCCTGCCTACCTCTCCATTTAAGCTATTTCTGGTTACTGTCTAGAAGTAAACTATAAGAGCTCATCTATTTTAAAGTTTCTTAGAATTCTTTGGTTGACCATGTAAAACTAACACTTAAGCTAATAGAAGTCTCAATTAACATCATGAACAATTAACAACTTTCTAAACTCTAGTCAGATACTTCACTTCCTTCCTCCCACAACCCAGAAACCCATGTAAATACAAGCAAGTTAAAAAAAATACCAAAACTGATTTTTGCCATATGATTAAAAAAAAACAAAAAAACAGTTTTAATATCTGGTATATATTTCAATGAACAGTTTTTTAGTCAAAAATTTTATTTCTTAATCACCAGTCGGCATTTGACTTCTCAATATGTGACCTATGCCTTAAAAAATATAATTCCAAGTAACTTTGCCCACTCTGAATCAAACTGTCACATGCTGGTTCAAACAAAGCTACAGAGAATTTAATCACAGTTCACCAAACTCCAGGCTGTACATTACCATCACCTAGAAATTGCTATTGTCATCATTAACGAAAATTCTAATTATCATGAAGAAAAACACTTTAACCTTTTCCTACCCATCTCTTCAGGCTTAGAATTAAGTTTACTATATATTCCATCTCAAAGGCTTACCTACAAACTTACCTCAGCGTCTGGGTTTTCTGGCGGCCTCTGATTTTGACAGTCCATGTCGGCCTCAAGAGAAGACACTTCGTTCTCCTCGGCTGGGACCTTCTCCACCATAGACGCTGTAGAGATGGTGAAAATGCCATGGGTATTGACTCGCACTTTGACTTTCACTCGAGATTTTTCTCCATCCTTCTGTGCCGAAACATTCTGAACAATGAAGCGGCCTACAGCAAAAAGAAATCGACAATTTCAGAACCAAATCTAAATCTATCATGCAGACAAAGGCTAAGAAAGACTGCAATTCCAAAATTCCATTTTCTCTACCAACTGAGTTAGACTTAAGTCCTTTAGTGTATACCAGAAACATAACCTTTTAAAATAGACTCATAAGTACACAGCATACTTAACAATACTTGGGATTAGTCTTAAAATGCCATGAAACCTTCAAAGGCAAGGGCACTCTTGTGACTTTCTATTTAACACTTCTGACACAGACACTGTGTGAGATACAGAGCAGCCAGCCTCACCTCCTCCTACCCCACTTTACAGGGGAGCACACCCTCAACATGAAAATCCCAAGTATATGGCTAATGATATCAAGCACTTGCCTCATTCTGATTCTGTAGGAACTTCACAGTAGGGTATACTGTTTTCTGACTGATCTGAACATTTTATGTTTCAAATAGGAGAGGTGAGGTAAAATCTGTTATTAAAGCCTAAAATTATGATGCACTACAGCAGTTCCAGACCATGACTAAGTAGAAATCAAGAGTGGTAACTCTGACCCAGACTCCCTGGGCTTGAATCCTGGCCCTGTGATGGCTGTAAGTTACTTTATGCTTCTACAGTTTGAGTTCTAAGGGTTTATAGTGAGCACTTACTATGGAACTAAGTGCTAGGTGTTAGTTATCACCTCTACCAAACTATTGTTACCACAAATACCGCTGAAAAAAAACTAAGTGTTTTGAACCTATTATGTGCAAAGCACTACAAGGGATTTAACAGTCTTGTATTTAAAGTCCTGTTTACACAAACACACAGAAAGTTAGATTTATTTACTAGGTCAGTGAAATAGGCTGGAACAGACCTTCATTAATTATCTAATCACTAGGTTCAGGAAGTAACTGTCATAAGATTCAGTTAAAGAAACAGCATTAACCAAAGGGTACTCAAGAAGACTCACAGGAGAGCTACCTCAGATGGCTCTGTGAGTGTGTGCAGGCTTTTCAGTTTGGTGACAAAACAAGAAAGCTCACGCTAGGCTAAAGAGCTTGGATTTTATCCTCTGTTAAATGGAGACGACAGTCCAGCCTGTCAAAATCTTAGTCTGGTCTATATTCAATGATTACTTAATCTATCAAGAAACACAAGCAAAAATTATTTTAAAATATAAAACCCTCCTGTGTCAGAACATTTTCAGTTTTAAGGATTAAGAAAGAAAACACAACTGGCTAGGTCAGACTCCTTCCGACAATTCCACTATGAAACAGTGTTGGGCAGAGGTGAGTCCTGACAAGATCTAGCAATACTAGCTTATTTTACTTGGGAAAAGAGATACAAGAAAATGCCTGTAGGTCTCCCACAGATTTTCAGTGTTCCTTTAGGCCAAAATAGATGGACAGTGTCAAACTTCTCAAAGAAAAATGTACCCCCAAAATGTACTTTTTTAAAAAAAGACTACAATACAAAGGTACCTTTCAGAGGTAGTTTCAATGGCTTCCAAGCCAGGTTTTAAACTGAACTAATGTTCTGCAAATAACATTTCACCCAGAAGAAAGGTTAATACTAAAAGTGGGTAATAACAGTCAAGTATAGACTGTATCAGAAAAGGAAAAACACTCAAGTGTTCCTACACACACACAAGTCATTTCATCTCTTTAGGCCAGTTTAGTCATCAATAAAAGAAAAGACTTCCCCATCTTTATTACTCCAAATTGAAACTCTCCTCACATTTTCAATTATGTTCCATTTCACGTTTTCATTGCGTTCCACTCAACACTGCAAAAAGCAGAGTGTTTAAGTTGGTACACTAAATCTTCAAAAGAATAAATACAATTAACTGCTTACCTATTTTTGCTTCTGGATATGGAACTCCTTGAGGATCAGAATAGAAAGCTTCCAGCTCAAAAGGCCCACTTCGTAAGAACGTGAGAACTTTGGAGAAAGGAGCAGCATGGTTTCTACTGAACACTTCATGGACACTAAGAGGAAACCAAAGGTACTCAGCACTTCAAGGGTTCAAGCTCACTGTGCCACACAAACAGAACACAATCTAAATTATCAACCCCATCCCACCATTTATAACCCAAAATGAGAGAAATATTTTGCTAAGTTTGATTGCTGAAAGATCTCAGTTAATCAAACACTCTACCATGAATGTCATACGTTCATTTTTTTTTTAATATTAAAACCAAGTATCTGAACGTTATTTTCTCCTACATACCCTTCAGCATCTTCTGAATCGTGGCTCCAGACCAGAGATATTGGGAAAGGAACTGCATCAGTGACAGAAAATTCTCTAACTTTAAATGCTGGGGAAAGGATTGCACACTTAAAAAAGAAAAAGAAAAAAAGATTATCATAAGCACATGAAAAATTTCACTCAGCTTCTAACATAAAGATCAATTCAAATAGGACGGGTAGGTTCAACTTCAAAACTGCTTCCAGTGTATATACATTGTCTTATGCATAAAGTATTTATCATCTAAACACTAGGTATAAAGATAAAAATAGTGGCATTCACTAGATAAAAAGATAATACAACAAATCTTCCAATACTGGAAGATCCTTGTGAACCCACAGCCTTATTGACTTATTGAAAAGTAACTCCCTGGTGGTGTCTAACCGGGCACAGGACTCTGCCAGGATGAGATAAAGCAGAAGTGGTTTGAGGAATGACTCCCAGAGAGATGCGAAGACAGTACCTGCAGTGCACACCCTCTGGCCACTGCTTCATCTGCATTGAGCGTCGTGCTAACATCTTTTCCAAAGAATTTGGCAATTTTTTCTTTCACAGCTGGAATTCGTGTAGTGCCTCCAACTATCTCGACAGCACTCACATCCTCTACTTTGAGCTGAGTTTGTTCCATCAGCGAATAAAGGGGAGCTTCTATCTTCTGCAGTAAGTCAGCACAGAGCTCTTCAAATTGTGCCCTTGGCAGTTAAGAGGAAAACGTTAAGAAAACTGATCTTAAGGCCAACATTCTGCCCTACTTTTTAAATAATTCTTATCAACCCAACAAACTTTTTTCTTCTCAGACACCCTGAATTCCACATGGGCCAGATTTAGCCATACCATAATTCATAACTTTTTTCCCTAAAAATATACAAAATCCAGATGCAGAAGGGAGAATGAAAAGAAAATTAGTAACTAGAGAAGAAATCACTTTTGTATTAAGATTTCCATTTTTAGTCCTTAATATTTTATATGATCCCATTTTCATCACTTTGAAAATTTCCATTCAGTTCAATGTATTTCTGTGAAATATATTATGAAAACATTTTTCAATCACTGGCCCAGAAATACTACTAGAAAGACTTCACTATGAGGACACTTGGCGCAGATCTTGTTAAAAACCCTTAACCCTCTTTGCAGCAGCAATTCTAGTTCTAATGATACTGACAGTCTTTCAGGTAGTGCAATCTTGAAATGTGGGCCAAGACTCAGAAGACCACAGTTAGAACTGACACCCGGACTACAGTTTCAGCAAGAAGTTCCTTCTATCTCATCTGTCAGAATCTGAGACACACCTGTTCATCTTTCCGGAAACATCTTTGTCATTCATGAAGCACTCGATGTTCAGTGGTAGGTCTGTGCTGTTAGAGCTCATCAGCTTTTTCAATTTTTCACACTCCTGATACAGACGAAGAAGTGCTCGAATTTTGGATTTTGCATCCAACTTGTACTTAGTTTTAAATTCTGCACAAAAGTGTTCCACTAACTTTGCATCAAAGTTTTTTCCTCCTAAGAAGGGATCAAAAGCTGTTCCCAGTACCTAATTTAGTTAAAACAACAAATAATCTGGTTATTTTCAATCATATTTGTAACCAGAATCTTAAATGTTGCTAACTCAATCAAATAGGCTCAAAGTTTCTATTTAAACTACAACATGAAATCCAACTCAATTAGGATGTATGTCACTATAAAATCCAAATGAAATGCTACATCTCTATGATATTTTTAATTCTAATGATTACATAGAAAATAATTTTAGGAAGTTTTTCTTTCCTAAACAAGAACAACAAAGAGTATGCTAAGACAACTGCATTTTCTTTATGGAGATCAACCTTAGGGACAACTCTCTTTTAATAGCTTTATCCCAAACTCTTCATTACCCAAGAAGCTCAGTAGCTTACAGTAACAACAACTGCCACACATTAATATCTAGGTCACTTAGTTCCAATTTATGACCTTACCTTCAATTTTCCCTTGTTAAAGGCACAGGCAGAGACTTGAAAAGCTGAATGCCCCATATCAACAAAAACCACTATTCGAGGCTTCTCATCCAGGCTTGGGAGATCCTGCTTATAAATTCCATAATTCAAAGCAACTAAAAGGAAATTAGTATGTTTCAATACTTCAGTTCACATTCTTTCAGTAATTTCATAGTTACCGATATAATTACACATGCAGAGAACCTGACTGTACTTCGACCAATTAAAGGTGAACACATTTCTTTTATATCTAACTTCATACTTCATCCCTTTCTGATTTTACAACAATGTTCCATCACTTTTAAATATATGAAGAGATGTGACAGAGAAGACATATGTAATGCAAAAACAATGGCATGTACACCACACAAAACCACACACAGACAATATCAGACTCATTACACAGTACTTACATTTGAACCACAACCTGCTAGGAGACTGCTTATCCAAAAAAATTTAAGAATTTAATATATAACTAGAGCAACTACAGTTCCTACCAACTGGATTCAAGGCAAATAACTGATCTATCTTAAACAGTCTATGGTTCGCTTTTTCTGAATTTTGAAACCACTGTGTATACTGAAGAACACACCGTTAGCAATACTTTAAGAATCCTTAAAATATCTATGAAAAATATGCTAAACAAAGTCTTATTTGCTTTGCTTGAATACACTAGGGTGTAACTGACTTTGAGTCCATCCTTAATCACAATAAACTGACACAAGCGCTACTGAGTACTTTGCTCCCCACTGACTCACTCCTAGCAAAGTGCCTAGCAAATGGCACAGCTTAAATCAACATCTGACATAAGAGGAATGACCGACTCCCAACCACCAACAATTGGGAAACGTATAAGGGGAAAAAAAATTTTCCAGTAAATCAATAGTCAAGGTAATTCTAAAACCCCATAATAAGGTTGTGGGAAAACTTGCTTCTCAACTATAAAAACAATGTAAGGAAATAAAAAAACTAAACCCAACACAACTAATTCAAAAGATTAAAAAATATACACAAGGTTTCCTAATGAAAATAGATTCATCCATTTGACAAAGTTCCAACTTCTCACTAAAACAAGCATCTGAAAGACTAGAACTTTTGCTTTCAAATCTAAGTTTTTTAATAGGTGGTATTTCTACATGGAAGTGTTTGATAACAGGACCACGTGTGTCTTAACTTTAGTTTCAACAGTATGTTAACTTTTACACAAAAACAGTTTTTTTCTTACCAGCTGTCATGTCATTCATGAGTCTTAAGCAGTTTAAGCCAACAATCTGGGCAGCATCTAAGACAGATCGCCTCTCAGCATCTGTGAAGAAAGAAGGGACCTGCAAACAAGAAGGGAAAAAATTTTAACTTACCTAGAAAACCAAAATACATACAAACCCCTCACAACCACCAGTGATCAATTCACAACAGTCCAGCTAAACAGGTGCCTAGCCATATCATGAAACAGAAGAAGGACTTTAGATTAAGTTTCTGGCAAGTTCTTTAACTTTAAGAAACAGTAACTACTTTTGAGAAGATTGCCCTAAAATTTTAAGTATCAGGTTTATTATAACCAAATTTTAACCTGAAATAAAAACTAATCAAGATATTCATAAGATGTATTACCAGTTCTTTAAATCTAACAAAGTTTTACATTTAGGTGGTAAATGTACATTCTAAAGTGGTCTTATTTCTACTGACATTTGAAAATTATTCTGCTAAGTCATCATTGAATGTAATTACACTATAGAGACTACAGGAATTTAAAGATAATACAAAGTTGATCTAGTCACTGCCCTTTGGTTTGCTATTCTTTGGGTTTAAGCATTAATAGATGGGATACCTTTTAATTCAGCAGACCTATTAAGATTACAAAATGAAACTTTGTCAAAGCCTGTTGATTTTTCTAACAGGAAGAACAAATAACAGCTCATGGGATAGTTTCTAAAGGTGCTGTCTTCTACCCAGATGAACTCTTCTGATCACTTTCTAAGACACCGTTTTAACTAGCACATTTTTCCAGAAGAGCATCTAATAATACATCTATATAATCACTTAGCTGGAAAGTACTTAAGAGAAAATTTGGTACAGGAGCTTCCACATTTTCTCCCTAAGTATCTATAAGTGCTTCAAAAAGAGCGCCAAGAGCAAAGGTGGGTCTCTGCTCATCTTTCCAATCAGAACCCTTCTTTCTGCAGTTTTCCATATGAGGTTATCTAAAGGTAAATGGGGGAGGAGGAAGGACCACCAACTTAAAAACTTTAACTTTGTGCTGTCACTTCAGTCATGTCAGATTCTGTGCGACACTGTGGACTGTAGCCCGCCAATCTCCTCTGTCCATGGGATTCTCCAGGCAAGAATACTGGAGTGGGTTGCCATGCCCTCCTCCAGGGGATCTTCCTGATCCAAGGATTGAACCCATGTCTCTTACATATCCTGCATTAGCTGGTGGGATCTTTACCACTAGCGCCACCTGGGAAGCCCCTCTTTAACAGCATTTCTCCAAAATATTCCTTTAGTAAAACACTTTCTGTCTTACAAGAGAAACTTCAGCCTTTCTGCCTCTCTTATCTCAGGATTCTCTCATATCCCAAGGTGCACCACCATAAAGGCTCCTGACAGGTCTGGGCAGGTCACCCTGCCAATAAAAGATGGCTCCTGTACACTGCAAATCCTCCTGAATAACTTAATTATCAACTGTCCATTCAAAGTAGTGAGTTTACCAATGCTAAAAACCTGGGTTCTGTGACTACTGGTCGGTTATCTTTTTTTTTTTAAGATATTTTTATGTGGACCATTTTTATTTATTTTTGATTTTAATAAAATATTCTATTTAACCCAACATCTCCAAAATATTTCATATTCTTTATTTTATAGTAACTCTTCAAAACCTGATGTGTATTTTATGCATACAGCATATCTCGGTTTTGACTAGCTCTATTTCAAGTGCTCAGAAGCCATGTGTGGCCACTGGCTACCATATTGGAGAATACAGATTTAGAATTCTAGTAATTTAAGGATGTAAGAACCTTAAAGTCATTTAATCTTTACCATAATAAACTTCTGATTTTCACCATATGAAAATTCTAACCCAGAGGAATAAGTAAGTTACTGACTCAGGTCAAACGATAAGTTCTCTTTTCAGAGTACATTACCGCATAATTTTTCGATTTATTGGACATCTTTAGTGACCATCAAGCATATCACCATTTGTGAAGTATATTATATATTGGAAGATTTGATAAAATTTTGCTAGCAGTTCAAAATCATTTAAGGCATGATATCTTTTTTGAGTGATGTAGACCATTTTTACATTGACTCTGTTACAATACTGCTTCTGTTTTAGGTTTTGGCTTTCTGGCCTTTAGGCATGTAGGATCTTAGCTCACCGAACCTGCACCCCCTGCATTGGAAGGTGAAATCCCAACCACTCGACTGCCAGGAAAGTCCCTAGTTAAAACTATTGCTCATCAAGAACTGGTTCTCATGTGTGGGTGAAATCTCTCGTGGACGTATACAGTTGTCTCTCAATACAGTTAACTAACTTTAGAACATCCTCCAATTTGATCAGCCAGTCTGTATTTTCAAAAAGCCCAACAGGAGATTTTGATATGTACCACCATGCAAAAAACTTTGCAACTTCTGGCTAAAGATAGCATTCAAACCTACTCTGCAATGCTGCTGAACACTGTAGTGATACAGTCCAGCAGAATTCTGATCTCTGGTAGTAGAACAGCTTTCACACATTTAATACTAAAAAGCAACATGAAGAAGGCAAATTAAAATAAAACACATTGCCTTGCTGAATTCTACTTACTGAAATAACACAATCTGTTACTGGCTTCTTGAGGTTGTTTTCAGCAGTTTCTTTTAACTTAGTCAACAGCATGGCTGTGATCTGCTCCACACTGAACAGATGTTCTTCATCCATGTACATCACCTGCGTTGAGGAAAGAAAATGCTCTCATTACTGCAGCCCTTAAAGCTACATGCTACTAATATTAACTTCCAAACATTATTACATATTCCAGAAAACCTTTATTGTTTTGGCTGTTTAAAAGGAGGAAAGGAAAAAGGAAAGAGAAAAGTGGATAGGAAAGCAAAGCAGAAGGATAAAAGAAAGCTTCCTCCCCAGAGATGAAGAGGAGAAACGAAGCTGGGGCGTGTTTCTCCCTACCCAAAGTACTAGACCAAGCACCACAGACAGCAGTGAAGTGCCAACCTCACTGAAGAGATGAATCACGGAGATGAATAGGATTTTGTGCAGATCATAAGACAGGAATGCCTCTGTACTTTAAAAAAGGTTTCTGCTTGTATTACACTAGAGCTCTCCAAACAACTGCAAACGAGCTACAGTGGAACAGACTGCTTTTGATACAATACCACAATCTAGATTTCTTTAGACACCAGAAATTCTACATTTTTCTAATTGCCAAGATGTTATAAGAAACACAAACTAAGTTGTATAGCAGCATATACTATCTGAGTAATTCTTCAAGGATGATTTAAACACAGACCCATAGTTGAAGAGAAACCAGATAAAAAATTAAAAACCACTTTGTCCAATTACAGAACTGAGTTAAATACTTACTAAGAATTAAGTACTCTTCTCTGTAGATGAACTGAACAGTTTCTTAGTAAGGAATCTAACGTTGTTCAATTAAATTACCTTTATTCCAACTCCACCATTTTTCATTGGAACCAGATCATAACTTAAGTTTTCCTTCTCCTTTTGAATGAAGGGGTCATTGAATGCTCGGCCATGAAACCTCTTAAAATTAGACACTGTATTGTTTGCATGAGTGATTTGCTGGGGGGAAAAAAAAAAATTAAATTCTAATTTCAACATCTATCACTAATTACAGCAATTAAAAAGCAAGTCACTTGTTCAACTCAAATCACCAGGATATAAATAACTTGCCCAAAAAAAAAAAAAAAACTGAAAAAATAAATAAATAAATAAATAACTTGCCCAAGAGCCCTGAATTTCTCCACCAATAAATACACTTTATTTTCTCTCCTTTTCCTACAGAAATGCCAGGAGGGAAGCAGTGAGAGGAATACACACACAGGCTTCCAAATCTGCAAGATGAACTCAAAGGTAATGGAACTATCAACTAAAACTCTGAACAAGCCCCAGGAACTTTATTTCATTCCTTTTCTCCCACTGAACTTGTTTTATACCTAACGAATAACTGAAATAGGGTAATTAGAAAGCCCTACAGTCCAATCACATTTTTCTAAAAAGGAGTTAACTCTTATAGTCTATTAAGTCACCAAGTGGCCAGGATAAGTTATTCTGAGCCACAAGATGTATGGAATGCTACTTTTCGTATCAATAGCATGGAATATGAATAATCTATACCAAAAAGCAGAAAAGGTAAGGATAGGCCAGTTGTTCCATGGTGTAAGGCTGAGCACTCTGGACTCTGAAAAGGTTAAGGATGATTCAAACAGTTTCCATATGAGGAAATGCTTTCAACTGCTTGTAGGTATTTTTGATGATTAGGCTCTGGAGATACAAAAGTCACACTTGATAGTATACTTCAAAGATGTCAGCAGTGGGAAACCTTATTTAAATCACAAAAATAATTACAATAAAAGATGAAAAACTAAGACTTCTAAAGTGACTAGTTTGAAAACAGCAGAACAGTTCACTGTTTATTTCTCTCTCTGATCTACTTGATTCTGGAACTGAGATGACAGATGTCTAGTACTCCATAGGCTAGATCGAAGCCTCAGTGGATTCTCCTTGTGTAACAACAACGCAGTGGATCTCAGGTCTGGGATGGGAATCTTCTCTACAGCCAGTCAGGGAGGCTGTTACTTCACCAGACTCTCCCTTCTGAGTAGGTCACTCTGAGTGGCATGACCATTTCTTTTCCCCACTTTGTCTTTTCTTTTGTTCCTCTCTTCCAGCTAGCCATGACATAAAATTCCAGCGTTTATAGAGTTTTGTTTTCTTTGTAGCAATACTATTTTTTGTATTTAAAGAATTTTTTCAACCTTTTTTTAAAAAATTATGTAAATCTGATGTATGCTGCTGCTGCTGCTAAGTCCCTTCAGTCGTGTCCAACTCTGTGCGATCCCAAAGACAGCAGCCCACCAGGCTCCCCCATCTCTGGGACTCTCCAGGCAAGAACACTGGAGTGGGTTGCCATTTCCTTCTCCAATCTGATGTATAACCTTGTATAAATTTAAGGTATATAGAATATGTTTACTTTGGTATGTTTACATATATAGGACTGCTTTCAGTCCCTTTCTTAGATTTTCATATTTCATATTTATTTTTTCTCCCCAACCCCCAAAATTCAAGTTATAATGTGAGCCCTAAATGGGAGTCACACAGGTAAATTGTCAAGTCCTCTTAATAAGGAAAATTAATTCCAATAACTTATTTAGCCCAATATATCTAACATACTGCCATTTCAACATGTACTCATTGTAGAAAACTGATAAGATGGTTTTCTTTTTTATTTCATTTTAAGCCTTCAAAATCACATGTATTTCATACCTTATATTTTAATCCAGATTAGGCCCATCTCAAATGCTCAAGAACTGTATTTAATGGCTACTCTGTAAGACACCACAGGCCTAGACAACAAGTTCTCTTTAATTACAAAGTAACTTGAAAACGCTTTTAAACAATGGAACTTCTTAGAAGTTCCTTCTATAAAAGGAATCTTTAACTCTTAAATGAGTATCATGAGAAACTTCACATGAAAGAATTTCATGTATCTGTTTTAAAAAATCAAATGTCTTAGAAAATAGGATACACAATAAAAACTAAGGTTGGAAGATTAGAGTGTGAAAGTGTATCTTATTCAATAAAACAAAAGGAAGAGAAAAGGAAAATAAGCATGCAAAGGCTCCTAAGTGGAGTAGGAAATGGCAACCCACTCCAGTATTCTTGCTTGGAAAATTCCATACACACAGAAGCCTGACAGGCTACAGCTGATGAGGCTGCAAAGAGGAGGACATGACTGAGCGACTGCAGGTACATGCGAGGGCTCATAAGCAATACTTGCATGATCGTAACTCAAAAAACAGATAGGCTTAGGTATTTCATACTCTTGTATGTTTCTGAGATTTTACTTTTAAAACGTCTTCTTTTAAAAATGATCAGAATCCTCTTGAACATACCTGATTTTTGGCTGCAACTCCAATTGTTCTGTTTTTTGATCCAAATGATATGACTGATCTAGAAAAGATGAAAAAAAAAAAAAACCATGTTTCACAAATATAAAGAAGCATAAATGTGGATTTTTTTTTAACTGACAAGAGGAAAATTCTATTATAAATTTCCATTCTTCGGCAAGGGGGACACAATTTAGCACAACTTTGGAGTCTAAAGCTTTGGTCAGCTTCTCTATGAGGGCCCAACTTAACTGTGACTCTGAGAATCCTATCGAGGTGGCAGCCATACTCCCACTACTCCAACCCCAGCTCCCACCCTAGACTGCTCAAGGCTCAGAGGACACTTTCCAAGAGCACAAGGACCAGCGTAATTCTCCAGGCCCCAATCATTAGGAAGTGGACATTAACTCCGACAATGTTTTGAACAGTTAAAGCTGTATTATTAGCTTGGTCCTAGACACCACTGACAAAAACATGGTGTATCTACTTGGCAGTTACCAACTTCACAGAAATCTAAATATCACTATCCTACGTACTGCTCTTCTAATAGACCATTTGACACTTTAGAAAATGTTTATATAACGAGAAACAAGTGGGCCTAAATTATGCTTCTGGAATTTAAAAGTACAAAAGAGGGTCCTATACAGAAGACTCTACTTGAGCAAGTCAAGTAAAAATGACGCAGAGCAAGTACCACAACAGAACCAAGTAAAAATGCTGAGCAAAATGACTGAATAATCTGTTACATTTTAAGTCAGCTTTTAAGAGATGAAGTGACTGGTAACTGTGAAATAGCCCGCAGAGCACTGGGAACAGACTGCCAGCACAAAGCAGACACAACCGCAAGAGTCTTGTCAGAAGGATGGAAGCGAATTAGGTTTCAGATCAGAAGGCAGAAAAAGCGTAACAGCACGATATGAGCAAAATGGGAACACATTGAGGGCATTAAATACCAAGCCCAATCAAATCCATATTTGCTATAATAAGAGACATCTCAGACCTAAACTATCTGAGCAGGTGCTAAATAGCCTCCGAAAAGCCAGAGAACTGTTGGAGCAAAGGCTGGACCTTTAAAATACCTTCCGGAAACAGTCACTCCCAACTCAAAGTAAACATATAGCTGCCAGACAAGTTTACTCATTTTCCAAGGGGAGAATAAAATTAATTACACCAAACAAATTTATAGTAGCCAACGCAGTCGAGTCAAACATCTATTATATAAAATATTAAACTCCAATACTGCCCTCCGCTTGTATTTTTTGAGAGACATACCTGTCATCTTTAGTTTCACAGTGATCTCTATAACCACAAATACAATTTTTTCCTACAATAGCTTTTCTTCCTTTTATTGGCCTAAAGGGAACAAAGATATAAACTGTACCTAGGCATGAAAACCTGAGATTCTTTTTCCTTACTATACTCCAATTAGAGACGTTGGCACCGCTTAAGAAAAGACTGTAGATTTATAAAAAGGTTGATGTATGAGATGCTTACGGACTAAGTCTTCCCAATGGTACTGACACTGTCTCTGCTTGGGTATTTTCTCCTTTCCATTCACTTTTACAAATGTTCATCTGCACTCAAATATTGATAGAAACACAAGTCATTTCACCTCTGGGCTCAATGCTTCACTCCTTATACGCTATATTCACAAATTTAGACCCTCTCCAAAAAAAGTTGCTTTCTAAAACGTTACCCTTTGCCCACCTCATGCCGCTGTAGAATATACCGTTTAATTCAGTGACAACGTCCAGTTCTAGTGTACAAGTGTGCAATTTTTATTTTCTCTCATTTAAGCTGTGCAAAATTAAAAAAAAAAAAAACTGGAACACGATTCCTCTGTAATGGCTTTCATAAAACGAGCAAAAAGGCCCTTTACATCTTTCACGAATGATCCAAGCGTGAGTAAGAAGACACACTCATCTATCATAACAGTGAGTCTGTGGTCGCTAACAACAATCCACTGGCTCACAGCACAAGCAGCAGCATACAGGCTCTGGAAGCTTCCAGCTCATTTCGAGATTCACAATGCGGAAGAAAAGGCTCGCAGCCCCAGCTCTGCGGTGCGCAAAGACAGGCTCGGAAAGAGAGGGACGAGCTGGGGGCGGCTCAGCCAGCTCAGAGAAGCCGGGTGGGGAAACGGGGGCGGCCGCGAAGGAGCTGGCAGAGGCTTCTCGCCAAGAAAAGGGAGCCAAGTCTCCGGCTTGGCCCCCGATCGGCTCCCAGGAGGAAGCCCGCCTGAAGTGACCACCCCAGGGAGACTCGACTCTCGGGCTTCCCTTGGCCCCCGCGAATCCCAGAGACACCCCCTCTCCGATATGCGGCTGCAGGCGCCCTCCCCTACGCGGCGGCCAGGCAGTCCGCATCCTGATCCCCACGGAGAAGGGCACCGCTCCCCACACAGCGCTCGGTTCGCCCCCGGCGTTCCGCGGCCAGCCGCAAGCCTGGGTTCCCCGGGATCCCCAGCCCCCGCCGGCAGGCTCCCACTTACGGGGTGCACCGGTCGCTGAACTCGTTGGCGATGGTCTCGATGCCCCCGGCCCGGGCCACCGCGATGTAGCAGCTCTGCGAGCCCACGTCCAGCCCCACTACCGACATGGCCGGCTCTCGGTCCGCCTCCGCCTCGGCTCGGTATGAGTCTGGGTCTGCGTCCTCCTGGCGGCCGCTTCCTGCCCCGGCCGCGCTCGACTCCCGTGGGGTCCGCTCCTGTCACGCGGGAGGACGGACGGACACACGGACAGTCTGCCGGTCTGACACCTCCGACTTCCCGGGGACAGTGGTGGTTCGCAGAGCAGTAGCCACGGGAGAAGGCGGTGCTCGGTGTCCGCGAGTCGCTCCGGAGCTCGCGCTGCCGGCCTGGATCTTCCGCCGCTCGCTCACCGGCGCGCTGCTGAACTACCGACCCAGAAGGGGAGGTCCCAGAGCCTCAGCCTTATGTATCGCACTGATCGGAACTTTCCAGAATCTGCGGCATTTACTCACCGGCGCCTCCACCGGCCCCTCCACGTGCTACTTCCGCTTCCTTCTTCTCGAGCCTTCTCGAAAGATTCTACCCAATGAGTGGTTGGTCCCTCTGGGTAAGGCCGCCGTTGCCATGGCAGCCAGAAAGCCACTCCTGCGCTATTGGCTCAAACTGGCCAGGCTGACCCGCCTACGCCCCCGCCCGCCCTAGCTAGAGGCTCTTTGCCGTGCTAATAAAACGGGCAACGAAGAATGACTCGAAAAAATCGTAATCTTCGTAATGTACTAGTAGGCGATGGTGTCTGACGCTTAGATTGGGAGAGGAGGCTCAGCTGGCAGAGACACACCCCCAAATTCTGCGGAGACCCGAGACCCCCGTACTCTGGAGAGGCTGGCCAGCTGTCAGAGAGCATGTCGGGAATCGTAGTCCAACTGGGAGTCAGTGTCGCCTTGCAGGCTGGGATGTGTAGTCCCGGCCGCGGTGCGTGTTGGGAGCCGGCTTTGTCTTGGGAGGCTCTCGGGAGAGGCCGAGTTTCTCTGCTGCTCTTGCACGCTTTCTCCAGCCGCGGCGTTGTTTTGTTTGCGTGCTTGTTCGGTATCCGCTTCTATTATTGTCTTGATTACCCCGCAGCTGGTGAATTATGAATTAGAAGGAGGAATTTCCGTTTCAAGTTATAGTAACAATCCTAGACTTTGTGTTGCATGCCCTTGTATTCATCAGCGGCAGGATATTGTTTTGTGGATAAAATGTGAGCGTTTTCGTTCTACTTTTTATAAGCGAATTTTAGGTGTGGCGTAATTTGGAAAGCTATCTGTGGTACCACTTTCTGCTTAATTTTGCTCCATCTGACTTGAACAGACCTTGTCCTGCCCTGCCACTCCCGAGGCAAAATGATAAGTTTTGCTTTTCGCTTGGTCTGAAACAGCTTTTGTTTCTTTCGCTGAAAAGCTATATCCCTATTATTTTTTGTTAAAAGGTTGAGCATTTAAAATGGGCGAGGGGGTGGGAAGTGGCAGTTTGCTGCTCTCTCGAATCTTTTGTACTCTTCAGTGTCTTAAGTTTGCTCTTTGCCGACTCTCAGATACATAAAGATATATGAAACAGGTAGAAATTTAGACCTCAAGTTAGAAAAATTAAAGAGTAAGGCAGTCCTAGGGGAGCGGGGAAGATACATGTAATCTTACACCCATTCATCTTGTTTGGCAGAAACCAATACAGCGTTGTAAAGCAATTATCCTCTAATTAAAAAAAAAAAAAAAACCACACTGTGGCGATCCTTTAGAGACAAGACTAGAAGGCCAGGTTTACATTACAAATAAAGTCAATTGTACCCGTTGGCTCAGACAAACTAGATAATGTTAAATGCTTCAGTTACCTCACCTTTAAGGTGGGAAGAATTTAGTTAAGGTGATTGTATTCATAAATTTGAAAGTATAGTTCAGTTCAGTCGCTCAGTCGTGTCCGACTCTCTGCGACCCCATGAATCGCAGCACGCCAGGACTCCCTGTCCATCACCAACTCCCGGAGTTTACTCAAACTCAAGTCCATCTAGTCGGTGATGCCGTCCAGCCATCTCATCCTCTGTCGTCCCCTTCTCCTCCTGCCCCCAATCCCTCCCAGCTAGTTAGCTATATTTATTTTTTATTTTTTGTTTTGCCTCCCCATCCCCCCCAGTTTTTTTCTGCATATCAAAACCTTATATTAAAATTCATGGCGTTTTTCTTGACTGTCCAATAGTTAAAGACTTCCCTCTTCCACTGCAGGGGTCAGGGGTTCTATCCCTGATCAAGGAACTAAGATCCCACATGCCGCATGTCATGGCCCCCCCAAAAAAGTTTTTTTCCTGGAATCATAGCACTTTTGAACAGAAATAGAACTTTGAGATTTTTTTTTTTGGTCTGCTTCCCACATTTATATGAGGAAACTGTTGTGCAGAAAGGAGAAAGGAACAGTTCTAGGTCTTTGGAGCCAGAAAAATTTGGATCAGGTTCAAATCCTGGGGCAGTACTGATATGCTTTATATTACAGCTTATAAAAGCACCAGGCCCTCCTGAAGGTAGACTTATGGGCATGAATCCTGGCCATATATATTTCTCAGTAATTTGCCAGCTCTGTGACGTTGAGATAATTACTAAACCTTCCTGTGCCCCGCCCCACAGGGTATGTGTAATGATTGAAAGGACATGTAAAGCACTAAACATACATCATTATTGCTTGATTTTCACTTAATATTCTCCAGATTCTCCCTTGGGCTTCAGTTTCAACATGGGTAAATTGGACGTATACCTATCTTGTTGGGAGTTTGGAAGGGTTAGATATAAATAAAGCATCTAATTTGGTAGTAGATATTCAGTTGTTGTTGTTGCTTAGTCGCTAAGTCTTATCTAACAATTTTGTAGCCTGCCAGGCTCCTCTGTCCATGGGGTTTCCCAGGTAAGAATATTGGAGTGTGGATTGTCTTTTCCTTCTCCCGGGGACCTTCCCAACCCTCCTCTTCATTGACAGGTGGATTCTTTACCACTGAGCCACCAGGGAAGCTCAGATACTCAGTAAGTTGTAGTAGTAATACTATTCAGGAAAAGAAAAGCGAGCGCCAGAACTTTGAACTCAACTCATACTGTTGTTGATGCTGAGTTGTACATTTGTATAGCCCTCTTGTATTTAATCAGTCCACTTATTTATTTATTGGAACAGGTGAATGAGTAGGGGCCATGTGAACCATCACATGTATTATCTAATGATGCATTTATGACATGCTTGAAATCCTTATCATTTTTATTACCTTACTATATTTTATTTATTTTGATTTATTATGTTTTTTATATATATATACAGTTTCTCACACTATTTCTATTATGGTATGAGAAATTTTAGAATGAAACCAAATAAAAGTAATCACAACAGATTGCTATCTCATTGTAGATCCAGAGGTAAACAGGGAACGAAGGTGACTTTATCCTAAGTCTGCTGGTGTTGCTGGGTTTTTTCCCCCATATGTGTCTTAGAGAACAAAGAGGGTTTTCAAACCTGGCAGCAGAAACAGCTCCCAAAGGGAAACAATGACGAGGACTTCCTTGGCAGTCCAGTGGATAAGACTCAGTGCTTCCAATGCAGGGGGCACAGGTTCTATCCCTGGTCAGGGAACTAGGATATCACATTATGCCACATGGCAAAAAAAAAAAAAAATGATAAAATAAAAATTCAAATATTAATCAAAGAAAAACCCAAATCAAAATGTCAAGAGATAATGTGCAATAGATGTAAAGGGCTGTGCTAGACTTCCTTGAAAGGAAGGAAGAGATGGGCAAAGAGTGAATATATAGACAGAATAATATACATGAAAGTGCTCATGACTTTCAGCTTTTGTTGTGAGCCAGTATTTTGTGGTCTCCTCTGTATTCAGTGAGGTGCTGAGTGCTGAGAAGTATCAAAGTTGTTCTAAATCAGGGTGCCTTGGTAAAGCTCTGTAATGTCAGTACATGTGAATGTGCAGATACTGGAAATCTTGTCCATTTCAGTCTCTCTCAGTATCTGCTTTCTAAAGGGTTTATTTTTTCTTTCTTCTCCTACATTAACTTGAACTTTATTTTTTAAAAATTAATTGGTACTCATAAAATCTATTTTGTCTTGTTTTCAAGTCCATTCCTAAAGATCAGTCCTGGGTGTTCATTGGAAGGACTGATATTGAAGCTGAAACTCCAATATTTTGGCCACCTGATGAGAAGAGCTGACTCATTTGAAAAGACCCTGATGCTGGGAAAGATTGAGCGCAGGAGGAGAAGGGGACGACAGAGGATGAGATGGTTGGATGGCATCACCGACTCAATGGACATGAGTTTGAATAACTCTGGGAGTTGGTGATGAACAGGGAGGCCTGGCCTGCTGCAGTCCATGGGGCCACAAAGAGTCGGACATGACTGAGCGACTGAACTGAACTAAACTAAACTAAGTCATGTAACATCACCTAAAAATAGGAATACATGGAAGAATCCTTAAGGAAACCAAGAATATTTTTTTTCCTTCTAACCTACAAAGAATCATCGTATTTTATAACAAATGTGGTGAAGCTAAAACTTAAATCATGGGATAATGCTCATATCTGTCCCTCCAAGCTCTCTGAGACCACGCTCCCCTGGAGCACACGCGGCCTTTCAGCCGGCCTGGAGACTTCTGTGCTTGTCTAGCCTAGAAATCTCCTCCTCAGGTTCCTGGCTAGGCCAGCTCCTTCTCATTCTTCAAGGCTCAGCATAAATCTCATCTCCCACAAAAGTTCCTGAATGCCAACCTATAAGTACATCACCCTTTCCCAAGGAATACCCAGTGTTTGTTTAGTTATTAAGGTGACCCTGGCACCAGAGGGTAGTCACTATTTGGCTTGAGCCAATCAGCACGTTCACTCCTCTCAACCACAGTCATTGGTTCAAGGGTAGGCACGTGACCTACTCAGTCCAACCAGGTGACTCTCAGTACCACCACTTAGAAAATAGAGATGGGGGTGCTTCCCTGGTGGTCTGGTGGCTAAGACTCCATACTCCCAATGCAGGGGGCTGGGGTTTGATACCTGTTTGGGGACCTGGATCCTGCATGCCAAAAATAAGAGTGTGTATGCCACAACCAAAGATTCCACATGCTGCAACCAAGACCCAGCACAGCCAAATAAATAATTTTTAAAGAAGAAAGGTAGTAGGGATGGGAACCTTATCTCTCTGCCCCTATCCATCTTTGTGCCCTCCACCTCCTCCTATTTCCTCCAGGCACGATCTTGTGAGGTTATGACATCACAGCGATGTTACCTTCCTCAAAAGGAAGCTGCAATGTGGAGCTGGATAGACATGGGAGCCAGGGGCCTAAGCCAACCCCCAAATCCACCCCCACTCTGATTTGAGTTCCATGAACCATACATTTCCTTGCAGTTGAAGTCAGCTTGAATTGGGAGTTTGTTACCTTCTGACAGGCTTCCCTGGTGTCTCAGATGGTAAATAATCCACCTGCAGTGTAGGAGACCCAGGTTCAACCCCTGGGTCAGGAAGGTCCCCTGGAGAAGAGAATGGCAACCCACTCCAGTATTCTTTCGTGAGGAATCCCGTGGACAGAGGAGCCTGGTGGGCT